GTTTTTTTTTTTTTTTTTTTTTTTTTTTTGGTTCAGGGGATTGAACTCAGGTCCTTGAGCTTGTGAGGTGGGCAGTGGAACCACTGAGCCAAACCCCCAGCCCCTAGATTCTTATCAGATCCATTTTAGAGGTAAAGGAACTGAGTTTGGGGGAGTAAGGGCATAAGCTGCAGACACAAGAGTTTTCAAAAGGCGGATCTCACAGCTTCTGTGGGGACTCTTACCAACAGGAGAACCGGGGCCAGGCCCCAAACCAGCTTGGGCTGGCAGCATCTGAAGACATTGAGGCCGAGTGCTAGAGGGGAAGTCATGGAATGTATGTGGGGCCAGCCTTGTTTGGTATTATGACCCAGCCAAGCACTGGGCCGAGCCCTCCAGACCTGTGAGACCTGTGGTTGAGTTTTGAGGTAAAACTGACACAGTGGAATTAAGATTAGGCTTGACCCCTGCTGTCTTCAGTGACCTGCTCCTCACCTCTCCAGTGAGATTAGCAGGGTCACTCTTTTATGTGTGGAGAAACAAGCCAGAGAAGGGCTGCAGCTTGACTGAGGTCACACAGCAAAGCCAGACTTGACTTCTTTACACTAAGTCCCAGGCCTCCTGTTTCTCAGTTGTCCTGACCTTGAAAGATGGTTCTCTCCCTCTCCTACATACAGCTTTTCTTTTTTTTTTTTTTTTTTTTTTTTTTTTTCCGTCTTGAAAGCCATAAATATTTTATCTCAGTCCCTGGAGAAAGGGTTTTCCTTTCTCCCATTTGCCTGGAAGCGTGGTTTCCCCTGGCCCTTTTTTATCCTCCTTTTCACAGATACTGTGGTCACTCTGACCCTTGAGCTCCTTTGTGGTTGTGTCAGTATTAGAACTCGAAGAAAAAGAATGAAGTAAAGGTACCAATTCCAGTAAAACTAGTTCATGGTGGGAGGTGGGAGAGGGATCTATTAATTTATTTACAATGAGACAGTATAAATATTTTACATAAATAAACTGTCAGACCGTAATACTTATTGAGCACTGACTACAGGTCAGGCACTAATACTGGTGTTGGGGAATCTGGGAACTGAGTTGTGTCTCTTCTGCATATGATCTTAGCCAAAAGACCGAGAAGTGATAGTTGTGTCTCTTCTGAAAGTTCTCATAGTCTGGAGAAGGGAGTCAGAAAAAAGGCCAAAGCTGCAGGTTAATAATATGTGTGGTTAGGGATAGCTGGAATGCTATGAAGAATAGTAAAATGGGCCAGAGAACAGCTTCTTTAGATAAGATAGTTACTGTGTTTAGGTTCTTCTAGAAGTAGTCACTGAGACAGGGATCTGAGTACAAATTATTTATTTGGGAAGAAGTCCCAGGAAATATTATTAGGACTAGTGAAAAGGGAAAAAGAGTCCCAAAAAAGTGGACATTATAAAGAGGATGACTACTGTGGGCTACTGGAGCTTAATCCTGTGGGTGAACTCTGGGAGCCAGGGTAAATATACTCCCTTTGAGGACTGGCAGTCCTGGCTGGAGGACTTCTGGGGATGGGAGGCCTTAATTCCCCAGTCTGCTTGGCATTGGTGGCTCCAGCAGGCAGTGGCAGGGAATGGCAGTTGGGTAGCATGTGAGGAAGTGGTGCACATAGGACATGAGGGTGGCTTCCTGATAGCACCACCTCTCTAACAAGGTGACTTGGAAGACTCAGGTGAATCCAAAGAGGAAGAACCTGGGGACTTTAAGTGGAGGTTGAGGCCTTGTTTTCACAGGTCTGGTGGCTACGGGAGGAGGTGAGGTTTGAGTCAGAGGTCACCCACTACCCACTGAAGGTCAGATGCTCCTTTCAGGCAGAGGGCAGAGTGACCCTTTCCTTACATCGGAACGGGGCTTGGGAGGCTGCAGGAATGGGTGTGGGGTTTGAGTCCCAGTGCTATCATTTATGAGCCATGGTCACACTTCTCCGAGTGCTTTATCTGAAATGGGAATGCTGATGTATCCTTGACTCCTCCCAAAAAGTACTGTAAATGGTCCTGGATACATTAAATCACTCTGCACTTGACCATTGGCAGTGACAGCAGATTGTACTTAAGCTGTTCTTAGCCTGGATCAGATATGTGTATATATGTAGGAGCTTGTATCCTGATGGCAGCCCTATGGGGTGAGTACGATTATTGTCCCCGGTTTGTTCGTCTGTTAGATTTTGGTGACAGTCTAGGCTAGCCTTGAACTTGTGATCCTCCTGCCTCAGTCTCCTGAGTGCTGGAATTACAGGCATGCACTACCATGCCCAGCTTATTTTCCCTGTCTCAAAGTGAGGAAACTGGAGCCCAGGGAGATTGAGTAACTGAACCCCTAGGCTGCCCAGAGCCCATTATTTTCTCTTGCAGTATAAGTAGATGCTTAGGAAACAGTTGTGATAATTTTAAAAGTTATTTTCTTTTCATAACAATCTCAATAGCTTTCACTTCTGAAATTTGTCTAATACTTTTCACATCCAGAAGATTCTGATGATGCTTCTGAAAACTCAAATAGACTGCAAACCAGAGAAGCAGCTGTTCCCTTCAGGACAGAGCTTGTTTCCCTACCTGAGAGATTGTCACTCCTAGGCTGTGGTCTGCCACGCTGCAGAGCCCGGCTAGCGCCCTGCTCAAAGGCTGCCCCAGCCTGTGGATTTTGCCAAAGCTCTGTTGTTCCAGATACCAGCCAGCTGGGTTTCCTGGGGTGACAGAGGGCAGAGGGCAGAGGGCCTGCCCTGCCCAGCCCAGCCCAGCCCAGCCCTAACACCTTGGTAGTTAGGAGGCACATGGTGATAGAAGTTAGACTGGGCATATGGTCTGTCCCCAGTTAACTCCAGCAGCAGGTCATCTGTAAAATTGCAAAGTTGAAACAGCACAGTCATTATCCACCCTGGGGCTGAAAATAACTGGGACCGGAACAGGGCTGTGGACTCAGCCTTATGTTTGCCTGGAGGCCTCTGGTTGCTGCCCCTGAATCCCAGGGCTCCCTGGGAGAGAGATGTAGCCTCAACCTGTGAGCTGGAGTGCAGATTGGCTACATCCTGTGTGAGGTGGCTGGGTAGTGAGCAGGAGAGGGTGGCAGGAAACCTCTGTCTATACCGAGGGCCCCTGTGCTGGTTTCTGAGGGAAAGTTGTAAGCACAAGAGACCGAACGCCTCAGTGAAGAGCAGGTCACATGCACAGGGTCACAGGGGAGGAGGCGTCCCTCGAGGAAAGGAGCATCTTGGTGGGGCCTGGGAACGTTGATGGCCGGGATGAGGGACAACGGAGAAGCAGGACGAGACTGGACAGCACTGTCCAGCAGGGGTGCTCCTCCCTCCTCCTTCTCGGGGAGGCAGATATGAGTGGTAAGTCCGTGGAGGGGAAGACACTGGAGGAGGCAGCTGCTTGGCAGTGGGTGTGCAGCATTGGGAGGAAAGAGAGATTCATGTTCAAGAAAGGTGCCAATGATGGGCCTGACCCTCGCTGAGTACATTTCATTATCACAGCAGCCCAGAGGTATAGGGAGTTGCCTCCCTCATTATAGATGAGAAAACTGAGGCTTAAGAGAGATAATTAACTCAGCATAATTCAGAAGTGGTATGCTAGGATTAAGGCCCTTGCTTTTAACCACTGGACTATACCACCTCAGAGAAGACTTCCTGGAAGAGCTGGTTGTATGGGGTTTTGATCGAGCAAAGGCAAAAAGAGTATTTGAGAAAAATCTCCAAAGTTGAAACTCAATTTCCCATTACAAGGAGGAAGTTCTGCAGAAGTTACCTCAGTGACAAGCCCAATACAGGTTGAAAAGAGCTTCTCTAAAGTGCTTGGATTTTTTTGTGTGTGTGTGTGGTGGGAGTGGAGGTAGGGGTCTCCGACAGTCATTGTGGGGATTGCCTTGTTAGTAGACTGGGATCCTTGCTAACTTGCCGTGTTACCTTGACCTTGCACAGGTTGCATTCCCCTCTTGGCTTCAGTTGCATATCTGTCAAATGGATTGGGGTAGAGGAGGGTCTCTGAGGAGGATAAATAATTTTCAATCTCCCAGGAGGCTGTAGAACTGGGGAAGGGTCAGGCCAGGGAAGGAAGAATGCAGAAAAATGCCAAGCATTTCAGGGGTCAAGGAGGACAGGGGAATGTTTTGACAGCAAAGAGATCACCAGTGACCTTGGCAGGCTTTGGTCCTTTGGAATGGAGGGAGAGGAAGTGGCTTTGGACAAAGGCCAGGGAATGGCTGAGCCATAGGAAATGGGAAAGTGGGGACAGGAAAACAGGGGAAAGAAGGATGTTTGCCATCGGGTAGGAACGGATAATAAGATGAAGGAGGCCACCTCTGATTGATTAGTATGGCCCTCCTAAGGCCCTGTTGAGAAATAGACATGGAGCCACAGTCAGTTAGCAATGTCTGCCAAGGACAGAGGCAGTGAGCATGGCAGCACTTTGTTTTGCCATCCTTCCCTAGATGGGTACCAGGTTGAAAGGGTGGTCAGGATATACTGGCTTGCAGTGAGGAAGCTTCAGGTATTTGGAAAACCCAATTCTAGATAGAAGGCTATACTACCAGCTCCCAGAAACTCTCCCTGACCTTTGGCTAGAATTAAGGTATTTTGCCTCGGGATAAAGTTGTCTGCCACTAGACTTCAGAATCAGAGTGCTCTGAGCCTCAATTTCATCTGTAAAATGAGAAGGAAAGGCCTATTTGCAAGGTACCTGTGAGTGTTTGAGGTGATAGTAGTAGCTAATATTTTATTGTTGGGTCTTTATTACCTGGTAGCACTGATTTGCCCCATCATGGTACTATTATGTTGGTTTCCTTTTTTCTTTCTTTCTTTCTTTTTTTTTTGGTTTTGTTTTGTTTTTTTTTTGTTGTTGTTGTTGGTACTGGGGATTGAACACAGGTCCTTTTGCTTGCAAGGCAGGCGGTGGAACCACTGAGCTAAATCCCTGGCCCTTATGTTGGTTTCTTTAAGCAAAGGTCCTATAATCTGAGCTCTGGGGCCTCTCATCTGCTACTGGACTTGGGACACCTCAGGGACTTTCTGCATTTTGGAGGATTATTTATGGTGGTTGGGACAAAGGATAGGGTCACTTTGGGCTTTAGGGTCATCTCAGTGAGGTAGGTATGAAGGCGAAGGGTATTGTCTTGGTCCTGAGCTGGGATGAGGTTGTCTAGGTCATTCCTTTATTCAGCAGATACTGAGCACTAGCTGCATGCTAGGTTATAGATGACCAGTCAGCAAGTCCCTCCTTATTAAATCTCAAGAGGAGGGTAATACCCATAGTTTCCTGTATAAACCCCCTCCTCCATGTGTGTGGTGTATGTGTGTGTCTCTGTCTGAGAGACTCACTGGATCGTATGGATGAACACAAATCCAGAGACTGGGTGTATAGGCCCTTCCTGGCTGTGGAGGAAGGAGATAGAGCCCCTGGAACCTAAGGCGTAGCCCAGATTGTATAGGGGACCTAATGGAATACCCTGGGCCCTAGGTTCTAACTCCCAACTGTGTAGAAACCCCAGAGCCAGGCTCAACTTTGTGGGGAAACCCAGGGGCTCAGCTGTGCTGGAGCCTGCGATGCCCACTTCTATCCTAGCTTTCTGTAGCTTTTCCATCAGCCCAGACACGGGACTTCCCCCATCCTCCTCTCAGGGGCTGGTCTGGGGCAGCTGGCCCTGCTCACCTCTCTGGTAGCCCTTGGCAGCTGGTCTCTATCTGGATCCTCCTGTATCCTTAAAAGACCGCAGGTGAGCTGGCCTGCAGCCCAGAGGGACAGCATTTTTTATCTCAGAGGGGATGGGGGACTTCCGAGCTGAGACTCTAACCCAGGGCTAGTGGGTCAGTATGGCATTGTTGGAAAATTCCTCTTCTCCTTCCCCATTGACCCTTACACCAGCCTCTCTCCTTTGGCTACTGTTGCTTTGCTGGTCCCCTTTCCCCAGCCAGTTGGTCTCTGGATGTGCAGGGGACTGAACAGTGAAGGCTGGGTCCATGGCTGCATGTGGCTCTTGTCTCATGCCTTTGCCCCTCTGAGCCTCGGTTTCCTGATCTGTGTAATGGAACCGTACCCACCTCACAGAGTCACAATAAGGATTCAGTAAGAAAATGGCATGATTTTCCCTGGGCAGTTGTCAGTGTTGAAGTTCTGTTTGGGCTTGGAACTTGAAATGTGGCCAAGTCTCTGGCACTGGCCAGCTCCTGGGCTTGGTTATGTGACCTGGCTTCCCTGGACCTGCATCTGTCTGTGGTGGGTGTGATACAGTCTGTCTCATGGATTCTCCTGAGAATTAACAAGGACATTTTGTTTTATTTTGTTTTGTTTTGTTTTTGAGACGGTCTCACTATGTAGTTAAGACTGACCTGGAACTCACTGTGTAGTCCAGGCTGGTCTCGAACTCACAGCGATCCTCCTGCCTCAGCCTCCTGAGTGCTGGGATCACAGGCGTGCGCCACCACTCCTGGCTTTTTGTTTGTTTGTTTGTTTGTTTTTAACAAGGACATTTTGTGTAAAGCTTCTTACCCCATACTTGATATGTTCCAAACAATATTACTATTATATTAATAGTAAAACAATGATGGCAGACCCTGGGGCCCCTTGCCAGGTTTTCCAAGGAGGTAGATTAGTGAGAACTGGCAGGGTCTGAGGGCCTCTGTGTCCCACCCTAGAGCTGCCAGAGAATTGGACGGACACCCGGGAGACGCTGCTCGAGGGCATGCTCTTCACCCTCAAGTACCTGGGCATGACACTGGTGGAGCGGCCCAAGGGCGAGGAGCTGTCTGCCGCAGCTGTCAAGAGGATCGTGGCCACAGTGAGTGCCCTGTCAGGAGAAGGTGGAAGCCACCTTCTTTCTGGGCTGCCTCTCATCCCCAGCTTGTCACCCCAGTGGGATATGACTAAACCTGGCCTTGAGTCTCCCTCCGTCTGGCGCAAAGCTTTGGTGGAAGGGAACAGGGTCAGGGCCAGTGTCTGCCTTTCCAGCCATTGTGGCAAGGGCCGTTCCAGCCTGGTCTACAGCCCAGGCTCCCTCCCTAACTGTTAGTGACGTACTGGCACCAGGGAGGGTGAGGAAGTTGTCACTCAGCCACATTTCCATTGTCTGGAATAGGGTAGCCCAACAGGGACCATATTGCCCTGCTCCCAGCTCTGAGTGAACACGGGGCCATTAAATCTGTTTCCCATGGTGTCCTTGACCCCAGTTTTGGGCCCCTGCATGTGTGGTGGGTGGAGCAGTCCACAGAGGTGAAGTTGCCCTGCTGGGTTGTGACAGCCCTCCCAGCTGTGTGTCCTTGGGCAAATCTTTTCCTCTGAGTCCACTTCCATGAGAAAGAAGATGGGAGTACACCTTCTGCCTGTGAGGACCGGGACTGGTGCTAGTGGACAGCAGCAGTTGTCCCCCACTTTTTTTTTCAGTTGTTCCTATTTTATTTCGAGAGGTGCTCGTCAAGTGTCCTTCCCATGGCACTTGCCAGTCCTAAGCCTCACACAGAACCTGTGTCTGGTGTGTGAAGTAGCTAGGTGTAGCCCAGGGGTGGATTGCAAGAAAAGCAGGTTCCTTTGACCCCTTTCTGCCCCCAGGCCAAGGCCAGCGGGAAGAAACTGCAGAAGGTGACACTCAAGGTGTCACCACGGGGAATTATCCTGACCGACCACCTCACCAACCAGCTCATTGAGAACGTGTCCATTTACAGGTATGCTTGGCATGGGGTGGTCTGCACCACTCTGACTCTTGGTGGTGCACGGAGTGTCCTGTCTGAGTCCAGGTTCTACCATTTGATACCTGAGTGACCATGGAGCCTCAGTTTCCTCATCCGTAAGGTGGGCTTGGGAGCAGGTCCTGCCTCACTATGCTAGTGCCCAGCACCCAGTTCACAGAGAGCACTTGGTGAGGTGGCGCTTGCTGTCCTCATCACCAGTTGTAACAGGTAGCTGAGGCTGACAGAACCTGAGCCCCCAACCCCGTGCTCCTGCTGCGTCCCCTGCATGCTGCTGAGTCACTATAGGAGCAGACATCTGCTGAGTCACTGCCTCTTTCCTCCACTGTGAATGCAGCAGCCCAGCCCTAGACATCTGGCTTGACATCCCAGGAGGCCTCACCTAGGGTCTGGAGCCAGAGTGTAGATAGTCTTGTCCAGTGGGTGCCCCAGTCCTAGGGAGGCAGGTCTAGCCCTTGGAGCCCAGGCTACCCCCACTTCTCTCCTTGCTGGTCAGTTGTCGTGTTTTAGAACTGAAAGGGACATCCCAGACCCATTTTACAGATAGAGAAGCTGAGGCCTAAGGAGGGAATGGCCAACAGTGCACAGTGAGGTAATGGCTAAACAGACCTGGGGGAGCTCTGCCCAGCAAGTCCCTTTCTCTAGGCAACTTTCCACTCTCTTTGTCCCCAGAGAGGTGGCTCAGTTTGAGCAGAAGCACAAGCTTAGGTTAGGGGTTATAGGTGTGTTGGGAGTAGTTTCAGAGTTTCGGGGCTGAGCCTTTCTCTCACCTTTCTGAATCTATCTGCCTGCTTTTTACCAACTTTTCCAAGTACCTGCTCTGCTGAGGTCTGTACCAGATGAGAAATCTGACTCAACGCCTGCCCTCCTGGAGCTTCATATCTGGGAGGGGACTGAAAGAAGAAATAGGATATAGAGTATATCCCAAGAGGGCAAAGAAGGAGGCACCCACCTGGGGAAACTTGGCCTCCCAGGGGAGGTGGGAGCTTGCTTGCTGGGGCTTGAGAAATAGCAGAATCTGGCTGATTGGTGCCAAGGACCCAGGGTGGTTAGGCAGCAGTCTGAATCCTCTGAGAGGAGAGGAGTCAGCTGGGAACATAGCACCCCACTCTCACCTGGGGTGTTTTGTGGTTTTATTCAAGTGATACAGCTGTAGCTGGGGCCACCTGGTGAGGAGTCGTCTGAGCTGTTCCATCCTCGTTCACCAGCTCCTAGAGATGGCGTGGAGGGATCATTGGGAGCATGAGGGAATGGCGGTGCTGCCCTCATTCCACTGGGACCGCTGGTTGGATCTCCTTCACACATTCCCAGCCCAGCACTCCACCCTGGCCACAGTTCCAGTTCCTCAGTGTCAGTCACCCCGGGAGCTATGGGCCTGGGTCTCCTCTGACATTTGGGTAGGGGAGGCTGGGCAAAGAGCAGCAGTGGACATTGTGGTGTCCTGCTTCCTCTTCCATCCAGTCAGCTCAGGCCCTTGAGGGCTGATGAGTCTGGCTTCGGAATCCCACCAGTGATTTCATGCTCTGCCACCAGCTCTGTATTCCCAGATCTTTAGCCTCAGTTTCCTCATCTGAGAAGTGGGGATATTAATAGACCCCATATCAGGGCATCTGTAGGAATGAAACAAGGCAATATGTAGAAATTTCTTGATACACTGACTGATATGCATTTAGGGTACAGGTATTACTATTTTGGGGAGTAGTGGCTCAGGATGGCATGGGAGGAAGAGAGGGAAAAGTGTCCTCTTCATTCTTTTCCCCCAGGCCGTTCTCCCTGGCTTGGATCCCTCTCTCATATATGGCCCAGGATGTGAGGCCTGGAGGCCAAGGCCAAGGACAGTGGACAATAGGATCTCTGGGACCCGGAAGATGCCCTGTAGCGCCTCTCAGATGTGATCAGGCCCTGTGCCAGATGTGTTGACACTTGCCACTTGCCTTTCAGGATCTCCTACTGCACAGCAGACAAGATGCATGACAAGGTGTTTGCATATATCGCCCAGAGCCAGCACAGTGAGAATCTCGAGTGCCATGCCTTCTTCTGCACCAAGCGGAAAATGGTCAGTGGGGAGGATGGGACTGCTCTCAGGGACTGTCTGATGTGGGAAGCAGGACTAAAAGTGACAGTCACTTAAAAAGGGTGAAAGGCCATGAGACTCTCAAGTGTGTGCTGAGAGCTCAGGGCACAGAGTAGGGCTGCATCAGGCAGTCACCCAGGTGGACAGCCTGGTTGTAGACAGTGACTAGCCCCCGTCCCCAGAAAGTGCTTGGGTCCCTTCCCCTCTATAGAGGGATTTGTTGGCTATGAGATGATTTTGGATCTCTTATCATTAGTACAGTCTTGGGGGAAATACACTTTATTCATCCTTACTAACGGGAGACCAAAGTAATCCTGGGAGAAAGGCCAGAGCCCTCAGAAGACCAGACTTGCTATGTGTATGAGTCAGCCTTGCTGTTTCTAGGACAAAAAACATCTGACACATGCACCCCCAAAGAGGAGAGGTTTAGAGGGCTGGGGATTTAGCTCAGTGGTTCTGCCGCCTGCCTCGCAAGTTCAACGACCCAAGTTCTATCCCCTGTACCGGGGGGGTGGGAAAGAGGTTTAGTTTGGCTACCAGTTTGAGAGGGATCATCCCAAGATCGGCTGCCTCCAAGGCATCATGGCAGAAGGGTGTGGTGGAGCAAAGCTGTTTACTTCATAGTGGCTGGAAAGTAGAACCAACAGAAAGAGCACCAACGCGAGATACACCCTCCAAAGGATGCCTCCTGTGAGCCCTCTATTCCAAGTGGGCCCCAGCTCCTAATAGTACATTCAGCTGTGAATAGCAGCAGGTGACTCCACTGATGACTACAGTGGCCCATGATCCATTCACCTCTTCTGGAGTCTTTTAGTCCAGTGAAGTTGACAAGTAAGATTAACTGGCAGGCTGACTGGAGTGGAGAGACACACAGCCATGTTTAATACCTTCTACAAGCCCAGTCCAGTGCTAGGCTCTAAGGCATTTTCCTGTTTAATCCCTACGACAACTATGCAGGGTGGAAACTATTATGATTTCCATTGATTTTCTTTAAAATTTTTATAATGAAACAGACCCCCAGAAATCCAGCTGTCTTGCTGAAGGTGACAGTCAGCAGGAACAATGAGTCTTTGAACCTACATTCCTTTCTGCTGTATAACAAGTTGCCAAGAGCTTCCTGTCACTTTTGGGCCACTTCTCAACCACATCTAGCTGGTTTGAGTGAATGAAATACCTTGGGGGGGTCCTCTGGGTATCTCACTTGAATTTGAGGGCAAGGAGCTAGAGTAGAGCAGCCTTTGGCATGAATGCTTTTGTTTCTGAGGCCCCTGAGATCTGAGCATCTTCCATGTAAGGAGGTTCTTGAGGTCTTTTGATTCAGAATTGGCACCTATTAACCTCTTTTAGCAGCTCAGAGCCAGGTCCCCATGCCCAGGATTCTTGGAGACGAGATCCTCTCTCCCCTTTTCAGTCAAAGGACACATCAAGAACATTGTTACCACTGTGGATACCAGGCTTCCTGCTTTAGATATTGTATAAGTTTCCTATGGCTGGCATACCAAGTGATCGTAAACTTAGTGTCTTAAAACAACGCAAATACATTCTCTTATAGTTCTGAGGGTCAGAAGCCTAAACTAGGTCATCAGGGTTGTGTTTCTCCTGGAGGCTCCAGGGGAGCACCATTTCTTCACCTTTCCTACCTTCTAGAGACACCTGCATTTCACCAGCTCTCAGTTCATCCTCCATCTTTGCAGCCAGCAGAGTGGCATCTGCCAGTCTTACTGATGTTGTCAAATTGCCATTCCTCTTTCTGACTCTTGATCCCTCTCAAGATGACACTTGGCCTGCCGGGTAATCCAGGATAATCTTCCCACCTCAAGATTATTCTTAATTCCATCTGCAAAACCCTTTTGCTATGTAGGGTGACATTCACAAGTTCTAGGGATTCAGAGGTGTACATCTGTTGGGGCCATGAGTCAGCCTACCACAGGTATTGCAGGAGGAGGACTATAGGAAGAGCCAGACCAGATCACAACTGATGTGCTGTGTGGCCTTGGAAAAGATTCTGCCCTTCTTTGGGCTGCTTGCCTATTAGCAGAATGACATCAGAATAGTTTCTGTTTCTTTTGCCCACCTTGTTGCTTTGCTGCAAATTTTGTGTCACTGGCCATTCATACTCGGGGTCTAATGATGTCCCAAGGCCCTGAGCTGCAGTGTCTTTTCCCCTGACAACCTTGTTCTCACAGTTGGTAACCCTTGGAGTTGTCTCCGGTGAGGACATGGACTTAAAAATATAAGCTCATCATGTCCTCATTGTTTTTTCTTCTCCCTACTGGTGAGCAAGTGCTGGGTAGGGCAGAGTGGCTGGCACCCTGCTGTTCCTACAGTGTGGGCCTGGGGGAGGGCGTTCCCAGATGCAGTGATTTCCTCTCAATGGGGGTTCTGGAAGTAAGAGAAAGAGGGAGGTTGGCCAGAGGACTTTAGACTGGCTTATGTGAAATCAGCCTGCCCCCAGGATAGGGGACAGTGGCAAGGAAGACAGAGCCCAGCAATGCTTGGCCACTGGCAACTGACCCCTGTTGGGCAGGCAGAGGGCAGGGCTTCTGCTGGACACCCAGAAGAGTCTTCGTGTCTCAGCACGTCCTGTCTGGGTCGAGGCTGATTGGCTGAACTGTGCCTTATCCTTCTCCCTTCTTTGTGCCACTCAGCCTCCCCCTGCAGGGAACCCTGGGAGATTCTCTCTGAGAGACAGCCCAGCCCAGGGTGGTGTCAGTCCACTGGGACCTTAGCTCAGCCCAGGCTGGCAGTGTGAAGGTCTCATGGCCTGGCCTTGTTAGCAACATGGACAATTTCTGGACTTTGCAGGATTTCTGAGGGGGAGTCAGAGGGGAGATGGTCGTCTTAGGCTCTGAACTGTTCAGCTGGCACATGGTGTCACTTGACCCAGGCTAAGCCCTACACTGGACACTGAGGACCCAGGGGACATGGACAAGTCTGTGGGAATCCAGGTTAGGTCATTGTACTTCTCTGGAGGTCAGGGGGGCCCCTAGAGACACAGGCTTGGAAGGATGAGTAGTGAGTGGGGGTTGGCCAGGCCGAGAGGAGGTGATGACAGGTAATGCTTACCAGTGTGGGAATTACAAGTGCAGAGGCACAACATGGGGGACTCTTGAGGACTCTTGGCTGGTGGATAGCAAGGCAGAGGCAGCCTGCAGCAGCAGGCTTTGAGTGGGGTGGTGACACAGCTGTCACTCCTGCATCTCCATCCTGCACCTCCTCACTGGGGTGCCTGAGCAAGCAAGGAATTTAAAGAAAGGAGGGGCACCTACCTGCCAAGGAAGACAGAAGGAAGGCTGGGGCAGCACAGCCACCCAGGCCGCCTCCCTTCTCTGGTCCTGTTGTAAATAAGCAGAAATTTCTCTACAAGGAAACCTTTCCATCTGCCTCGGAGGGGGGCCTCTGGGCTGGAATATAAGAGTTGGAGGAGCTCGGAGCTGAAGCACAGGTGCAGGGCCTGGATACCCCCAGTTCCACCTGGCCTGAGGGGTGGAGTTGTGCCCCCAAGTGGGCCACAGTCCTGGGTTAATCCTCAGGGATTTCTTTATACTTCTGGGCATCAGGGCTGCTGGGATACAGGGCTGATTTGGTCTGATGTGGCTCCCTTTGAGGGAATAAGTCTGGTTATGGGGAACAAAAAGGCAAAACATGGAAAAGTGGACTGAGTAGAAACTAGTCAGTGACAAACAGATGCATGGCCAGAGGCATGCAGGGGAGGGCTGGGTGCTGGCCTGGGCAGTACAAAGGCTTCCTGAAGCCGGCCCAGCAGTTCTTCTGATGTCACGGTGGCTTCCCTAAGTCCCTGTCCAACCTGGGCCTTCAGCCACCTGCACACATCCACATCTCCAGTTATATTTGCCTTAACTTACAGCTTGGAACATCAGGGGAAAGGGGCAGGAATGTATGCAAATCAACTGGCAGATTTATACAAAAACAGTATAAGCTTGTGTCCCCAGGTTCCCAAGAATAATGGTGTTTCCCTCTCCCTGCCACATTGGGTGACCAGCCCCTGCTTGGCTATAGAGTGATCTGACTCGGGCTGGCAATTAGTCCATATTTTTAGTTCATGGGCAATTCTCAATGGTAACTGGGTCTATTAAACTTGATTCAGATGTGACAGCTTAAATTGTAAACAGCTGTGAAGAGTTTCATACTTAATTACCATATTTAAGTTTTACCATAGAGCACCCGTACTTCCATCAAAAATGTAAATGACGGAGACATTCAAATGAGATTTAATACTTCGTGAAGTTTAATTGGCACAGATCACTCAGCTTGTTTAGGGATTTTACATTTTTTTAAAAGAAAAAAGAATTTTTGAAGGCCGTGCCACAGATTCATTTCTCAATTAAATTGAGTTGTCTACTGCAGGGGAGGGAACGGGGCGGAAGATGGTTAGGCCTGAATTTCTGTGTTTGAGGGTCTTACGTTTTGCTCTCACCCAGGGCTTTCAGAAGGAAGCTCAGTGGTGTTGCTGGCATCAGTTATAGCTATGAGCTCTGGGGCTTCCACCAGACCTGAGCTGATTAACCCTGAACTAGAGTCACAGCACGGAGTGAAGATGAATGTGGGCTGGGGGGTCTGGGCCGGCAGGAGACCTCAGGAGTCCTGCGGCTTGGACAGATACAGTGCAGCCAGCACTGTTGCCACCCCACTGAGGAGCTTCTCGTGCTCTGTGGCAGGGGTGGTAGCGAGCGTGCAGACAGGCAGACGCGAGCTAGAGCCACTCATGCCGAAAGGGCAGAAGTGGTGACTTCTGAGAGGATTTGAAGGGGTGGGTGGGGGGCAAGTCCGGTGCCCCCACATGCAGATTGGTTACAACACTGAATAATTTTGATCCCTGACGCTCATTGACACCTAGCTCCTGCTCAGGAAATTTATCGGCTACCTCCTCGCTTGCTGGGGTCCAGTTATCAGTTACCCCTCTAACCCTGCATATCCCTAAATAGTCACCTTCATCTCTCTGGCTGTGGCTTATTCAGGGAGTGACTGGGCTTTTCTAGCCCTGGCTTTTTTCTTTTCTCTGATTCTGAGGGCTCAGGTAGTGTGTGAAGTCCTTGGGTAATTAGGGAGGGCTTCCCTGAGGAAGTGAGCCTCAGTCAGTTGATTCAGGAAAGCCCAGTGTGGAGGTGAATAGCCACTGGGGGAACGAATGAGGGTGGGAATTTACTGGGCTAGAGGCTCAACTGCCTCTCCTGGATTGGGCTTCAAGTTAAACCCCAGGCTGCTTTGGTGACATGGCAGGGACCAGCCCTTCCTCCTCCAAGTCTGGGGTTGACCCTTAGGAGCTGGAGGGAGGAAACTGGAGCCCTGACCTGGACTCCCCAGCCCTCCAGTTTAGACTTGCTCTTCCCTGGCTGAAATGCACCCCTCCCACCCCCACTTCCTGTTTTTCAGGCACAGGCTGTCACTCTCACAGTGGCCCAGGCCTTCAAAGTCGCCTTTGAGTTCTGGCAGGCAGCCAAGGAAGGTAAATCTTTATCACCATCAAGGGTGGGGTAGGGGCTGGGGAGACAGATAAAGCCTGGCATCAGACCTCTGCTGACTACCAGCTTTACCCTGTAGCTAGTGTGTGTCCTCTCACCTGAGTTTCAGTTTTTCTATCTGCAAAAAAGTACATCAGCTGTCTCTTTTCCTTAGTGTGCTTGTGAGGCTTAAGCAACATCTGCAGAGTGTCCTTCCTCCCTCAGGAGACCTAGCAGTGTCCCTTAGGTTGAGTCTACCACCTGGCCAGTGATTGCTGGGGGCAGAGTGCTGGGATATGGGGCTCTGATGTGTTGTGCCTTGATCCCACAGAGAAAGAAAAGAGGGAGAAAGCCAGCCAAGAGGGAGGTGATGTGCTGGGGACCCACCATGACAACACACCCTCATTGAAAAGCTGTGAGTCTCGGGTGGCAGGGGGCCCTCAGCCGCAGGGCCCTCTCTCCTGGTCTGGGGTAAACTTTGGGTGCTTTATTAAGTCAGTAATACACATTCATTATAAATTAGGAACAGATTAACTTGTTTTCATGCATGTTTTCATCTGTCTCTGTGCACATATATAAATGCTGTGTGTGTGTGTGTGTGTGTGTGTGTGTGTGTGTGTGTAAATATATATATCCTGCTGTGTGCCCTCTGAAAAACTTGACAGCTGTTGTAGATATAAAAATTAGTCTGAGCCATCAGAGGGGGAGAGGTTTGCCCCTTGTGGGCAGCTGACCAGTGTTGACAGCAAGTGTTAGGTGGGGCTCTGGCTGTTCTGGTGACAGGCCTGGGCAAGGTCACATCGAAGAAGGCGTCAAGAACTGGACAGCCCAGGGGCCACCCAGATGAAGTCAGGAGATGAGGCCAGGAAAGAAGTGGCCAGTCTCCCACTGATAGCCCCTGCCTGGACTCTCTCGCAGTGGTTGCCACTGGGAACCTGCTGGACTTGGAAGAGACCGCCAAGGCCCCGCTGTCCATAGTCAGTGCTAACACCGCTAATGTGGATGAAGCACCACGGCCTCAAGCCTTGAGCAGCAGCAGTGTCGTCTGGGTGAGTGGCCCTGTGCCCCAGGGACCCCACGGGATCCAGTGAGCCTCAGCAAGATCTGTGGGTGAACCTAAGGCGGCTCCTGGGTCCAGGCCCTGGCACCATGACTTGGGGGCCTCTGGGAGGAACAGACCCAACCCAGCAGCACCCAGGCCCAGGGTAGGGGAAGAACAGTGTCCCCTTTGAACCCAGAGCCGTGTCCCCAGCAGTCCCAGCTCCCAGCACATCTGTCTCCTCACAATGCCTGGCCTCTTGGCCTGAGCGCCCATAGCCCTGCCCACCACAGGACCAGCCAAAGGCTCCCTTGTTCTTGGCAGGGCAGAGTTTGTGCCTGACACCCCTCCCTGCTTAGCCGGCTGAATGAGGAGCCAGGGACTGGGCTCCTGTCAGCCTGACGCTTGACTCCCTGTGACCCAGGGCAAGCCCCCTACACCTCTCTGGGCCTCAGCTTTTTCATCCCCTCACTGGAGACCGTGACCTCTGCCCACAAATCTCCCAGAGAAATCTTAGCTCTTTCAATTTTAATTTTTCATTTGGGAATAATTTCAGACTGTGTTACAAAAATAGCACAAGGAGTTTGTGACAGTGATCAGAACTGGGAATTGAACATTGATACAACCCTGTTATACAGTCTGTAGAGCTTACCTTCCCCCAGTTGTCCTTCCCTGTCCTTTGTCTGGTTCAGGGTCTACTCTAGATTGCATGGTCACTTGTCATATCTCTTTCATTTTTAAGAATCTAGAACATTGAGGGACTTAAGTATCTGTCAAGTCCCTTCAGCTGTTGGATGCAACCTGGGTGTCCCAAAGCTTGTCCTCTGTTGTGGGGACCTCACCCTTGCTGTTTACCCCGTGGCACTGGGAGGCAGATGAGGGACCTTGCCCAGTGCTTTTCCACTGAGGCCCCTGCCATCAGTCATCTGCACGAACTTAGGGTTTGAGCTTGGCTTTGGAAGAGGATGAAAGGCAGCCTCCTTCTCCAGCCTTTGCCTTTTGGAATTTGAAAGCCAAGGAAATCGTCAGGTCCTTATTTTATAGGAGGAAAAGCTGAGTCTTGAGGAGAAGCCACGATTTGTTCCAGGTCCCGCAGGCAGATAGTGACAGAGCTGGAACTGAACTGACCACAGCCCTTTCTACTGTCCCTGCCCCGGCTTTGGGTCCTTGGGCTGAGAAGCTGCACCTGCAGTGACGTGGAAGCCCTGCCTATGCTGGTACCTCTGAGTGCCTCCCTGCACCCCTGCGCCAAGCCCTGTAGGTCACCCGGGGCAGGACAGACCCGTGAGGTGAGCGCAAGATGCTGCTCAGAGCTCTCACTTCCTGTTTTGTTTCCCTAAGGAGCTGGATGATGGCCTGGATGAAGCATTTTCTAGGTAATGTTGGCTTCTTACCTAGGGTTGGCCCTGCCTGCCCTTTCCTCCCAGGGATTCTGCCATGCCTGAGTATGAATCCTTCTGATCATCTTCCCTCCAGATCAAGACTCCCACCTCTACTCAAATACTTCTTGGGACAGGGAGCTCACTGCCCAGGGAGGGAACTTCTTCTAGGGTGGCCAGATGTGTTAGAAGCCTCTTGTTACTAAGCCACTGTGCCACAACTGAGCTGTGCTAGACACACAGCAGCTCGAGCTCATTTTCTCTTCCTACACTGGAGGCGCCCTCTGCTTGCTGGCTTTTTGCAGGCTTTGTCCCCTCCCCTCTGCACAGCTTGCCTTTATGCAGGGAAAGGGAGAAGGCAGTGCTAATTAAGCCCCTTGAGTGCTGCAGAGGGAAGGACGTCAGGCTCCTGAGCAGGGATTTGGGTAGAGCCCCATGGTGGTGGTGGTTCCCCATTTTCCCAGAGGCCATCGCCATGGCTGTCTTCAGCTTGAGGACACACTGCCAAGAAATCTGTGGCCAAGGAGAGGCCCTGGCAGCTGGCTCAGGGCTCTGTGCTCTTGTCCCTAGTTACTCAGGAGCCCCTTTCTCCCCTGGGACTCACAGCGGCTCCCTGCAGCCCTCCCGCTTCCGGGGTGTCACTTAGGGTTGGGGGTCTGTTGAGTGGGGCAGAGTCAGGGGCTTTGCTTTGCTCTCTTTCCTCTCCCTACCTTCCCTGTTTCCCTGTCTCGCAACACCTCCTCTTGTGAAGAAAAGCTTTCATTTGCTTTTCTCAGATTATTCGAGTATCATGTGCCTTTTATTAACAATTTCAGAAGTCAGCAAAGCATTAAACAGAAAATAACAGCATGTTATAGTCCCACAGCCCAGGCTCGGCTTAATTCTTGCTGGTCCTGTACATAGATATTACGTGGGACCTGTCAGCTCATAGTGTCTGCCTTTGGCCCGTGCGTCAGAAGCCCCTCTCCGGCTGTTAGTAATTCCCACAAATCCCTCCCAGGGATGTGGGCCATCATTCACTTAGCTCACCCTGTTCTTGTGAACATTTATGTTTTCTCATTTTTCTGTTAATTTTCCGAGAAGCATGCTGTTGAACAGAGGTACAGCCGAGCAGTCTCCTTGTGGCTGACCAGTTCCCACCCATGGCTGGCAGTCGCTGCCTTCCCAGAGTCTCCCTTTCCCCTCTTCCCTGGCTGAGCTTGGTGTGAGCACCCTGGCCTTTCTGGGTGTGGGGTGGGTTGGGGATGATGAGGATACCACTGCCTGGCCCACAGTTTCGACCCTCTAGGGCAGCCTGTTGTTCAGAGGCTGCACCTCCCCTGGCCGCTGGGACATTCTCCTCTGCCCCATGTGCTGCCTCCTCTCCCTTCTGGCCCTGGTACTGCCCAGGATGCACTGACTTCTCAGGCCCTACCCGGTACCAGGCGCTAGGCTCACCCAGCTCTGCCTTCCAGGCTGGCGCAGTCAAGGACAAACCCCCAGGTCCTGGACACAGGACTGTCAGCACAGGATATTCATTATGCCCAGTGCCTCTCTCCTGTCGACTGGAACAAGCCCGACAGCAGTGGCACTGACCAGGATGACCTCTTCGGCTTCTGAGGGCCTGGGGCCAGCAGGACACAACCAGCCCTGACATGTGACTGACCAAAACCACCTGTGATGGGGGAATCAACTCTGAGACCTGCCAGCCGCCCCTTCCGGCACACAGCAACGTCAGCCTGCAGATCAAAGCTGCAGCCAGTCAAGCAAGGGGAAGGAGAGAGATTTTTTTAACCTGCTCTTCCTCTATGAACTGAAAGAAGCTTTGAATATTTATTCAATGACTCCTGGTCTGTGCTTGGAAGCCAGTTTTGCATCGGGCACATGACGGGTGCAGTGCTGTGACTGGCCACATGCTCTTTCTCTTCTTGAGCCAGCTGTGCTCTCTGTGTCTGTCCGGACAGTGACCAAAGCATTTCTTGTCCTTCCTCCTTTCTAAGAACCTGGATTTGCCCAACAACATCCCCACTCTTTATGGAAAGCAGCCAGAACTTGTCATCTGAGCTCAGGAGGAGCCTGCCACCTCCAGCTAGGCCTGGGTCCTCAGGCTTGCCTTCCTCAGGATCCAGCAGGCCTGAGCTCGAGCCCTAGCCCCGGAGCTCTCAGGAGGCTGCCCTTCACCAAAGATAACACATAGCTTGGCACTTTAAAATGTACAGCAGACATAGCCCCAGGGGCTCCTCCGTGGCGCTGAATTGAATAGAGCTTTCTCTGCCCTTCCTTTCTGAAGGGGGCCCAGAGTCCCTTTGGATGGGGCCCAGCGTGATGGGCTGCCCATGACTTCTAGAGTCTGACTGCAGCTGTGGGGGTCAGTTCTATGACTGCCCCCCTCCCTCATACTTTCTGGGATGATGTGTGAAAACTAGCACCGAGGTTCATGTAGGAATATTTTGCAGCCATTTCACAGATGAAGAAACTGAGGCCATGGAGAGGGCGGAGTCAAGTAGAACCCAGATCTGATGCCAAAGCTGCTTTCTCTGCTGCCACCTCTCACAACTCACATGCCTTTTTTTTTTTCTAGCTTTGTTGTCCTCCCAGGAACCAAAAATCCCCGGCTATTTTCTGACCAAAATGTGTTTCATAACAAACCATCTGGTGCCTTTCCACACAGAACTGGCACAATCCTCTGTGCCCTGCTGGCTTTCTCACTGTCAATTTGCATCAAGATGCAAGTGTTTGAAGTCTGCTAAATCCAAGGGTGAAACAAAATCTAACTCTGTAAGCATCACGCTGTTCTCTTTCCTGACACTGCAGCCTGGTCAGGACATCCCAGCAGCAAGTTGTCTTTAGAATCTCTTTCCTACCTTCCTACTTGGCCCTTCGGCTCTGGCATCCTGAAACCCAGCCAAGCCCAGAGCCTGGTTCCCATCCTGAAGGGCCTCCCAGCAGCCTTGCTTGTCAGGGCATGTTTCTGCATGCCCAGGAAACAGGCGTTTCTTAGAAGCTGCGTCTCTAACTGAGGCCCTGTATCAGAACAAGGTCATAGGACCTTCATCAGAAGGAAGGTGACTTCCTTTCCCTGCCCGGCTCCCTTGCCTCTGCATCCCCTTCTCAGCCTCTGTAGTCCTTGGGGCAGTAGGTGTGGTGCAGGACACAGGCTGCCCTAGGCACCAGGCACCGGTGGGCCTCCTGTGTTGTGCTGGCCACACTGTGGCCTTCGTTGGTCTCTTTGTTTTTTGTTTTGTACCAGGGGTCAAACTCGGGACCTTGTGCTTGTGAGGTAGGCAGTGGTGCTACTGAGCTAAAAATCCTTGGCCCCGTTTGTCTCTTGTTGAAAGCTGTCTGTGCTTCCTGAATGTCAGCAGCCAAGTCTTGTGCTTTGCTTTATGATGCTGTAAAGGGAGGCTAATGAGGAAGAAAACAAATAATAAATGTTCTGTTTTCGAAATAAAAGCAGCACTTAGATGGAGTGGCCAGAGTGCAACAGCCAGTGGCTCCTGCCCTTTGTCAATGGAAGTGGAAGTGACCACGGACTTAGGTGGATAGCACACCAAGAAGCAGTACCCACAGTGTACCCAGAGCAGGGATAATGGCCTTGGGGTCCCCTGTTCACCCTGCAGATGGGTGTGTGTGTGATGAGATCACCTCTGGGTAACTAGTAGAGGCCAGCAGTGATCCAGTGTGTCAACACAGACAAGGTCTCTGAAAGCTGGGGCCAGGGGTCTTGGGCCCCTGAAGTGTGTATACGATTTGTGTGTCCATATGGGCCTTTTCCCCACTGAGAGTGTCACCACATTCTCTAATGATCCATGACATTTATTCGCTGGTTAGAGTTACTCTGCTGCATGTGAGTCAGGGCTGGGCTAAAGATGTGCAGCTCTGTGTGGTGGGAGGCAGCAGGAGCGTCTCAGTAACGGGACACCTGAGGCCCAGTCATAGTCTGCCGTGTAGGGACCCTGACCCCAGATCAGTCACTTCTTGAGCTTCAGTTTTGCCTTCTGTGAACAAGGTACAGCATTCTTCCTCTTCCTGCCTCCCTGGGTTCACACTTGGTAGAATGTGTAGTCACAGGGCTGAAAGGTTACCTGAGAGCAAAGGAGAATTGGGACCATATTGTTTAAGAAAATCACAGTGATGACAGTGGCTATATTAACCAAGTGCTTCCTGCATCGCGAGAGCTCCCGACCTAGCTCACGTGGCCACACTGAGCCCAGATGCCATCAGTTCCCCTCATTCTGAGGGCTCCAGGCTCAGAAGGGGAGGCAGCTGTGTCCTGAGTGCTCGGTGGGGGCCACAGCCCAGTCACATGGCAACCCTCACTTTGCCTCATCCTGGCCTCTTAGGTGTCTGTGGTTAAACTGCCCATGACCACCTCTCCATCTGTATAATGACCACCATGCTTCAAGGCTGTGCTCCTTAGGTCTCCCTGGCTGCTGTCCAGGACCGCCTCAGTCCCCTGTCCATGCTGCAGCCTTGGGCACCATCTCTTTATCTCTTTGTGACTGATATTTCAAATGTCCAAAACCTAGAGGCAGAGCCCTCTGATGTCAGCCGTTGGTCAGACTCCTTGTGAATTCTGAGTGGATCACAGAAGCCTAAGAGATTCTCTCCCTTTCTTCTTTTCCCCATAATCTGAAAAGACACCCAACAAGTTCATCTTTCGGTTTAAATTTGGCCAGTGTCTTTAGTCTCCGGATCGCTCAGATTATAAATCCTGAGCACCCGCCGTCTGCTCTTTCATGCATAACTGATGGAGCAGGAAGAACAAAGTTGCCTTTCAGATTTGATGTGACCTTTAGCTTCTCTCATAGATGTTGGGTCTTCAGGGGAAATCACCCCAATTAAATCTCTCCCAGGGCTTTCTGACAAGCCTAGTTTGATAATCAGGGTGAGTTTCACGACTGGGGTGCTGGTCTGAGCCTGGGCTTCACCCAGCTTCCCACCACCTATCCATCTGCACGTGTGGATCAGAGCAGGTGGCCTGTGTGTTTATTAGGAATGACCTTTGACCCCACTAGCCCTTTATAGTCAACATCATTGTTTAGCAGTCCTTGCAGTTTTGCCACAAGGTTGGTGGTCCTATCCCTAATTTAGGAATGGAGCTACTGAGAGTTGGGGAACATGAACTCTCATAACCAAGAGGAAGTGGCCCTGGGATTCTGACCCCAGTCTGGCTCCAGAGCTCATGCTGTACTGTGCCTTTCTTTGTAGAGCACAGGGCATCCAAGCCCAGATGCCCCTGCGCTTCTGTGCTTGCCAGCACTGAACAGCGTGGAACCTGGGAACAGCCTGCAAAGTCTTCACAGGGAAGGTCAGGGCAGGGACCAGCTTCACAGACTGGCCACAACAGAGCCTTCCTCCTCTCAGGCGGCTGACCTTCCTGATCTCTGTCCAGGTTAGACTCAAGGCTGAGGCCACATCTCATCACATCAGGCCCCCTTTGCTGCTAGCAGTGTCATCTAACTTGCCAGGGTGGCCCCAGCATGAGCCTTGGCGTTCCTCAGAGCAGGAAGGCTTCCTCTGGGAGGTGGTAGAGAGCACACCTCTGGGACACCGGCAGCATCCACACAGCCCATTTAAGCTCCCACAGCGACACGCTAGTGATAGTCCATTGCAGAGACAGTGACACAGGCGCACAGAGGTTGTACAACCTGACAGCCTTACACAGCTGCTAGCAGGCAGGCCTGGGATTCAGATTCCTTGTATTCCTTGTCCCGAAGTGGCCCTGTCTCTCTTCAGATAAACATTTGGAGAACACGATGACCTTGCTTGAGAGCTTCTTGGGCCAAGAATAACCTCAGTCAGGAGCCAACCCAGAGCTGCTAGGTGCCTCTGCGTCCAGCCAGAACAGATGTGGGCTGTGTGAGTCCATGGTGCCAGGCGGTAATTCCTGAGTACACCTGCTGAGCCCCAGGTTGGCCCGTGTGGATGGCTGACCCCTTCATAGTCTGAGGGTATATGTCGTGGTGCTCTGCAAGGGCCCTGGCCATGTAGTTGTCCATACCAGTGACTGAAAATGAGAACTGAGGAATGGGGATTTGGGGGTGGGTGTGGGGGTCCTGGAAGACAGAAGTCCTCCACCTGGCCTCATGGCAGAGGAAAAAGGCTGGAGATGGCCTTTGCAAACTTGGTGAAGCCGGGGCCTGTGTTTGAGTCACCCCATAGCCCTAGTGTGCAGGCTGTCCTGGCATAGATAGCATCTGGTCCTCAGTGAATCAGCTCATCAGAAGGTAGAACCAGCCTGGCTTCCTGAGAAAACCTGGAGAGAAGAAGGGTGGTCCTGGCACCTACACAGTTCAACAGTCCACTATGGGCCAGCAGGCCTGTTGTCCGGCACACTGTCCTATATATTCTGGGCTTAGGATTTCTTATAGCCAGGGGTCCTGTGTGCCCAGTGGTCCATTCCCTTGTCCTGATGACAGGTCACTTTCTAAAATGGCTCTCAAAGCAAGATTCTAGAACACTAGTGCTAGAAGAGCCCCTGGTGGTCCTCCAGCCCCTACTTTGTTTACATTTGGGAGCTGAGGCCCCGAGAGAGACAGAATTTCCCCGGGACTGTAGGGCAGTTGAGAGGCAGAGCTGAGACTTGACCCGTATGTCTGTCTTGTGGACCTCACCCATGGTGAGGAGAACTTCCTCTCCATATTCCGTGAAGAGGGCCTCAGGCTCAAGGGAGACAAAGCTTGCAGGGAAGTGGAAATGATTATAAGAGGCTGGAGAAGGACCTCGGTGAGTTCTCAAGCACATTAACAAGAATCAACTTGGCACACACATCTCCATCCCCCCTCTCCAGCCCTGAGAGCCCGTCCGCAGCTCGGGCTGCCATAAGGACGCCAGGAAGATTGACTTGCACAGCTTTGGAGCACTGCAGATGGGGCTGGGCTTGAATCCTAGGTTTGCCACTTGGTCCTATCATACATGACTCAATAGTCTGTTGTCCGTTTCCTCATGTGTGTGGTAGGATAATGATGGCTGCGTGAGGAGTCATGGGGTTAATGAGTGAATGCCCCTACTGTCCTGGAACATGCTACTTTACAGCTGTCACTGTTATTGTTGCTGCTCTATGAGCGGGGCAGCGTAGGGGCTACCCCAGGATAAGG